AAATTAATTCACACCATAATAACATCCACACACGTCACGTGGACGTTTTCTTGTGTCAGCCCCCGACGAAATAACCTTGCAACCATAACCACGAAGAAAAATATAAATTCAAAGTTGACACGTCGCTGGTGTGCTTTTGGGCGTAATTTTCCCGCCGCCTCCGCCACCAGTCGTAATATTAAAATATTCGCCAACATTATGATCGTTTTAGTTCCAAATTGAATTTCCTCACTAGTTGGAATTGCCGTGGCGTTTCCCATGTTAATGTTAAAAGCTGCAAAGTTAATATGGCACATTCTGGTTGAGATGAGACGGCAGATATAATAGGACAGATTATCTGGCGCAGCTATCTCACCTGGCAAAGTTTCCGGTGCAGGCAACCCCGGAAAACGGCGTTATCGGCGGCGGTGTATGGACTCGGATAAGGATGGAAATCTGGGAGTTCGTGCACCTGACGGGGATGAAAATACGAATATCCATAGCTATCAGCTTCACAGTTCATTAGCGGCCTTTGCCTGATCGCTTCTCGCACAAATCCGCGAATCCCTCGTCATTATCTACCGACTCTATGCGGAATTGCGGAACCGGAGCCTGCTTGCGGCGCTTTTAAACCACCCCATTCAATATTACATAAATATTGTGGATTTAGCAAATTTTGTCAATTTATATGCGAGCTTATTCGGCCAACTTGTCAAAATTCAAGAGATGAGCGGAACGAAGAAGACGACGCGTTTAATCTTCCGAGCCATACCTATTCAAAACAAGCGAAATTGAAAGAGTTGGAGATGTTGCCGATGGATTAGGAAATGCAGATACATGCGAAAGGGGATTATAAGTGTTCGAATCTTAGAAATATCGGGATTTCGATAGACGGCTGCCGATTCTGTGACATATTTCTCCCGTTCTTTTCTTCACCTAGATCGTATCTGAATTCTTGTGGAATTTTCTTTCTATTTCCAGAACAGCCCATTTACCCTTTAATGCCCTTGCGTGATACTTATAAATAGTTTAAAGAGGCAGTATACCAACATTTTGATTTACAAGTGTCTTAAAATAACAGTGAAAACCCTAACTTTCTAACCTTTGTAGTTTTCAAGTTCAAGAGCAGCTTGACGTGGGCGAAGTTCTTCGGGTGACGTCATAAGGGACTTCCGACCGATTCGGGATGTGAAAGTTAGAACTTGTTCATTTATCCCTGCTTGCTTTAGAAATTTACGAACTTTTCTGGTACTATATTGAGAAAAATCAAAAGAAATAACTTGTAGATAGTAACAACCGCCTGGGGACCAAAATCGGGGAGACCTGGTATATTGCCATTATAAAGGTCTGCAATACTGACCCCTTATATTGCATTTAATTAACAACGCCTATCGTTTGATCTCGCGTTATTAAATTTCGTCGAACGTCTTAAAAGTAACCAGGAAATGCAAAACCAATGTTAATTTTAACGTTGTTCGTCGGCAAGGAACGAAGACCGTAAATTTTTAATTGCTTTTAAATGTACTCACGGTACCTTTTGAATCGGCTCCCTTATTGAAGAAAGCTAATTTAAAAGCTTTGTCAAAATCGATCGAAATGTAATATAGCCTAGTAAACCCCTCGAAGCACACCAATAAAAAGTAGAACTTTCACAAAAATCCCAGGAATCAAATAAATGTGCCCAGTCATGCATTTGTTTTAAGCCACCGCCCGCTTTGTTTCAGCGTAAACGCTGAACACCCCATTGCCTCCTCTCTTTGCTACAGAACACTCGGTCAGAGTCGGCTGCGATCTCCCTGACCGCCAATCATTGTCACTTGATTGCTTTTATCAAAAAAAGCGAATCACTCCTAACAGAAAGGGTTTGGGTTTTCTATCCATGGATCTACAGCTTTCGGCGGGAGAAAGATTACCCATCTCGGCCCGCTTTTACTTAAAGTCAAACATAAAAGCGTGGTTTGTGCGTGATTTTTAACAAGAAAAAAATTGATAAATGAACGTAAGACTAAGAAATGAATATCGGTACTAGTATTTCGTGGTTAGGTCAAGCGATTTGTATGTTTGACTCTTTTTGTGTTAGACAGTGGAGTTGATTCTTTATAATACCAGTGCGTACAAAAAATGGAACCTTTATTCCAAGAAACTAAGATGAAGGAGGGACCGAATACGTCGGCTGTGTATGCGTCAGGGAGATTTATTCCTTTAAATATAAAACATCGTGGAAAAATTGAAAACGAACAACTTATTTCTGTCAAGAGACGTCTCTTGCAATTTTCGGTATCTTGTATTCAACATTAATCAATTTGAATACGCCATCTCTTGTAATTATTTTTTCAAGTTGACGATGGCACGTGAGTATTTTTAATTGAAGCGGAATCTTACTTCGCTTAACGTTAACAAGCGTAACAAGTTTTGAAGGGTCTTTAAATTAATTAAAATTGCGAGTAGACTGTGACCCGAAGTAGGATTTTCTCAAACTAGTTCCTTGTAGCGTCGCAAACACAAAATGTAGAACTACCGGTGAAACTTCAGTGTGTGTTGAAAACTACGACTTGTAATTACGTGATTAAAATATTCCAAAAAACGAAGGATGTATATTAATTAGGAAGGAACTTGTTCGTTAGACTACATCTCACTCTTACTTCTTTTCCTTCAAAAGGCATTTGCAGATTTGTCATTTTTCCCCCTCTAGGACGTTTTACAATAATTGAACGCCGATGTTTTCTGGTGCGTAAACTCTCTCAGAAGGAGTGTTTTCCGTTGGAGGGAGTGCGTGTTTTGATTAATAAATTAGTCGAACGGTGTTTCGACATTTTCAAATCAGCTAACGATGAAAGGAAATATGTTTGGAAATGAAGTAAAAAAGAAGTTCAAAGGAATGGGATGGGTTCGGTCGAAATTTTATTTATTCAAATGGCACTTTTGGAAGATGCTGTGCAGGATTCGAGGAAATTCCGCTAATAGAATCGCAGAAAATCGATCCGTCAGCGACGGGGATGTAAACGTAAACAATATTTTTCACATTTATGTGGAGAAAATAAATGGCGGAAAACTATTCGACGGGGAGATTTTCGCGTTTATGCAGGGGAGGAAGGAAATGACGCGTTCACGTTACTTTTTCTTACTTTTTTGACGAAAGTCGTTATCAGAACAGACACCGCACGTATTTGTTGTGTCACACACGAGGTTTTGCTTTCAGTTTTAATCGGAGAGGCGAGAAAACAGTTCAAAATAAAATAACCAGCTGGAATGCAATTCATATTTGGATTCAAGTAAGCTCGTTACTAGTGCTGAGAGGACATTTTATCGCGTTAGTTATCTGCTTTAAATATATTTAATTGTTTAGGCTGTTCCTAAAACATAGACTGTAAACGTTGTTCAATCAGGTTTTATAATCTATTAGAGAAATTATCATTTTTTTTATATTGGTGTTTTTTGACGTGCAGGTGATTTGTTAAGAAAAACAATTTCCTGCTGATACATGTTTCTAGATTTATAATTGCTGCAAAAACGCGATTACACAAGTTAACATAAACGTGAGAAAATAGCGGCACTATCACTACATTCAGAGTTCTTACGCAGACACTTCAGTCGTGGGTAGAGCTTGCAAATAGCACTAAAAAACTCCAAAACAAACATGCGGTAATAATGTAAAACAACAATTGCTGCAACCACTAATGATGGTATGCATCATTTACGTAGTAGTAGTAGTTATTATTCCCGTTTTCCTTTTTTTTTTGTAAATTAATGATCCAAGTTCGGTGTTGTTCCAGTTGCGTTGTATTTTTTTTTTAGATCTGATTTTATCGGTGTACGCTGTTCGCTTCCGTACTTGTTCTACCGCTTTTATCTACAGGTAGTTACCGCCATATTTTACACAAAAGGTGCCTCAACTTACGAGCTCGTGCCTCACCTCCAAATCTCCATCATAACAATAACTCCCGTCTCGTTACGTCTTCCGTCCGAGAGATGCATGTAGTATGGCTTGTTGCAAGCTGCAGTTTATTAAAGTGAAGTATGAGAGCGTTTTAAGCGACTTGAGTCGTTTATTAATTCCAGTTGCCTCAAATTATGGAGTTGGCATATTAAGCGCTCAACCCCTGTATAGTGTATGTGCGCACTGTACAACACAGCGTTTAATAATTTTGCATATGAAACAGAGTTGCGTCGAGCGTGTACGTTTCTCATTTATCACAAGGAATGTCAGTGCGCGCCAGTATATGAACTTATTAATTAATTTTAAACAAATTGCCGTTTCGGCATGAGCGGCTTGCAGGTTTTCAAGTACAAAGTGTATAATTTATGAGTTTTGAGCGTACGCTTCACGCCGCTGAATAGGGCACACGATCGCATTCCTTCGCCAGGGGGCACACACTCGACAGGGATGGCGCAGTGGCGGCTCGCCTCAAGGAACGAGCGAGCGAGCAGTTACACCCAGTAGATTTTTTTAAATAACAATGTAATGAATCGTCACGGAAAAATAACAATAAAAAGATGAATGACGTAAAGAGTAAAGAATCCGAGAGAGAACTTTTCCATGCCTCATTCAAGCGAAAGATTTGCCTGGTGGGTGGGAAGAACGTAAATCAGGCGGTATGCATTGGTTGCAGTGGGGTTACGTAGAGCAGGATTCAGGTCGTGCTCCAACTATTTCTTGTTAAAGAGGGAGGGAATTTTGTTCATTTTGCTATGAAACAGATGTACTCATACTTGCACTTTGGTGCCAAACTTTTGAAAGTATTATGTATTTGTAGCATGTAAGAATAGCCATGGTTGTTAAAAAACCTGTAAAAAGCAATATTCCAACCGCGTCAGTTTAAAAAGTGCGTCGGAGCCGCCACTGGATAACATAATACCTACCCTCCGTGCTGCGCCACCCTGGCGTATAAAAAGTGGACGAGTTTGCAGTGGCTGACCTCAGTTTTATGATATTTTTTCTTTCGCTCCTTTTTTGAAGGCGACCGGAGCCGATATTGAATGGAATTACGAACTGGAATCATATTGTTGTTTTGTTGTTGCAGATGGTAACCAGGACGAAAAAAATATTCGTCGGTGGATTATCAGCGCCCACTACCCTAGAGGACGTCAAAAGTTATTTCGAACAGTTCGGTCCGGTGAGTACCCATCCATAAATTTGATTATATCGAGAAATATAGGACGGTCTGCTGGGGATCGGTCGGAGTGATCAACATTTTTTACGGACGGCGGTGGTGAATAACCACGGGTTTGAATGGTTCTGGCGATGCTTGAAACATTGCTTTGAGGGAAATTGCATTCGAGGAAATAATCAAGGAAGCGGCGTGTTTAAAGGTGTCGAGGAAGATGAGTTGCATTCACTCCGACCTTTCTTCCAGGTTCCCAGCGTGTTGTCAAATAATTAGCACGGGGAACGTTTTAACGGAGAATTGCTTAAGGCTAGCTTGAGCATGAATTTGATTCTAAAGACGTCGTTGCAGCGATGAATTAAGGCCGTTTTAAATTTGAAGTAGTTTTAGCGTTGACTGTGCTATTTTGGAGTAGTAAAAATATTTAGGTCGAAATGGCGACGCAACAGGGACAGCGCATAAGACGAACTGTCGTTAAATGTCAGAGTCTAGCATGTGCAATAACATAAAAAGGGAATAAAGACTGTTGGCGTAACCATGATCTTCAGTACTAAATGAGACTCTTACTTCTGTCATAGTTTATTTGTGTTTTATTGGATTACTGCCCCTCAAATAATTAGGTAAATGGACATTCCGGCCCTAGACACTTATTTGTGCCAAAATTTTCGAACAATCTAATATTACGTAATGAAATTTTAATAACGGACAATATTATCAGGTTAAATTCAATTTAATACGCCACAACTTCCTAAATAAATTAGCTATATTTGATTTAAAAAAGTTGTTTCCTCTAAGTTTAGTAGAACCTACCATTCCTACTTTTTAGACAACATCCAACAATGTTTTGACGGGATAGTGTCCAGGCGCCTCTGCAAGTCGAACTTATTTTTTGCTTAATTTATTATTATTATTATTATTTTTTATATGATTTGTCAGCTTGAAACCGCGAGTACTTAAGTATTTGAGCGCAAATGAGTGACAGTTCTATTTTCGTGTTTGCTCTTTCGTCCCAATCCAGTCATAGCAGGCCCAACTAGCCAATTACCCATGAGACATTAAAGACAAAAAGCTATGACTTCGCACGTCCAGGGTCAAACCAGCACCAGCAAAACCCCACCTCAGGTTAACTTTCGCGCTAAATCCCAAACAAGCCGTGTTCGAATTTCAGCTAAAAATTAATAATTTAAAATGATCCTAAGCAAATCTTAGTACAAACAAGTTTTTCGCCGGAATAATCCTGCAATTCCTATGCGCTTCACGCCCGATATTTAGTAAGCAAGGCACACTTCGACTTGAACATGTAGTCGTCAGCGGTGTTGGTCCTCGTCATCAATAGGCCGTAATTAGTAGAGGCGCAACTCTCGGTTAAATTACAAGGTAGAAAGTGGATGACGGTTCGTGCGAGAGCGGAGGAGGATTCCGTTCGGGTCATCCAATGACCCCGAGATCGGCCATATGCGAATCATATCGGCGAAGAGTGCGTTCATGATTTGCATTGACGTGTTCGATGATGTTGACTTGGCCAACCAGGTGGCGCTACGGTTGATTTGCAAACCGCTACAGTGACGTCAAGCTTGACCGTTAAACTAAATTGATTGTGTAAACAAAATCAACAGATCTAAATACATCGTGTTGCCTGTGTACCGAGCCTCTCAAAGGCAACCATCGCCTCGAATTTTGGTCCAACTGGTTAAAATGTCATACGTCGGAATGCAATTAATCGCTATATTTTATAGTCGATGAATACGCATCAGACACGCCAAGAAATCGACAACAAAGCACCAATGCACTGACTTTGATTGTAGATAAGTCGCAGGTTCAGATAACGTTTTCGTGTGCATTTTAGGGTGGCATCTGGCGCCTGAATTTAGCTGTATGTTGAGATTAAGTTCAATGTTCAGTGTCTGTGAAAGCAAGATACTGTGGAACACGTGTGCGTCTCTCGTGACTAGCTGTTTTGATCCATATTTAATTGTCGCATCTTGAGTTGCTGTCCCTGCCAAGACTACGCAAAAAATGCATCCTCCCGAGTCTCGGCAATAGGGGAACACCTGAAGCGTGTAGAGAGTGTATAGAGAAAAAACTTGATATTTTAGTAGATACAAAGTAAAACAATGAAAGAATTGGCTCCTGTATATATTTAAAACTTGTAAGATTTACATAAGGAAGAAGTAGTGGTTGAAGAGTGACATTTCTTTAAAGAATACTTCCTATGTCATTTATAAGATGCTGATTGTTCGAAGAGAATGTGAAAATTGACTAAGACTCCATCCACAATGAAGTCAAGTTGACGACAACAGCGCCATCTAATGAAGACACGAAAAAAGTGGCTTGAATAAATCTTTATTATATGTACGTTAGGATATTACAGTTCGGAAATTTAGGTCACGTCTAGTTACAGAAGATACAAATTTCTCGGAACTTAACTCCATTTGAAAAAGCTACACTGGTGAATTATGACATGATTTGACTACCAAGACATGTCATGACTTACCGTTGCACAAACACCTATAATCGTATTTCAGACACAAAAAATGGTGTAAATTATTCAAGTTATTTTCTGTCGCATCAATTTGAGTAAACATCACATACAAATTAAATGAAAGAACGTCCCATAAAATAATTACGTACTATTAGACGTTCCATTCCTTGTCCGTGGTAGGTAGTGGCTCGAATTCGTGGTGTATTTGCATGCTGGTCGACATTACGCCTACGTCCCCTACGTCAATCCGGCTGTAATTCATTAGTTATAAGCTCAGTAGTAAAGTTCACCGGCTGCGTTCGTTTTATTCCGTAGCAGGAACGCGTATATATCGTGCGATCTAATGAGTGCCACCCCTTGTACACATACGCGACTGTGAAGTATGCGCTTCATAATTTAAAAACGAGCTCCGTGTCAAACAGAAAGTTTAACAACGGTTTGTTTTTTCCCCGGACTACAACGGAGAGAAAACAAATACGACAGGTCCACGGGGAAGCAAGAAAATTTCATTTTCGGCCGAACGAAACTGCACTCGTTCTAATTTGTTTCGTTTTATTTAATCGTTTAATTAACAAATTTTTGTAAGTGGGCAAAAGTTTTTCTCATTTGTTGCTTTTACGTTTTTCATTTTCGGTACAAGGGACCGAGGAGGGGTTTGGAAACTGTACTGTTTTGCATAATTATTCAGCGTTCGCATTAATCACAATTATTTTATGATGACTTGCTTCTGAAATGACTCCAGGAAACCGTCCAATTTCATTTGTTGCGAAACAAACTTGGAAAATCCGAGCTCGGCGAAATTCTCTCATTGCATCTCATCTGCATCGTAAAAATTTGACGGTGCCTCTGTATCTGGTCGTCTGGGAAATATCTTCTGACAATTTTTTTTATCGGTCTTGTGGAACTTTGACACTCGACATGTTCAAATTAAGATATCGAAAACAGTTTCAGCCTCCGAACGCCCGTGACAGATGTTCAATAATCATTTATCATTTAAAATACTTGAGCGAAAAGATAAAACGCGATTTCCTCTGATGGAGGATTCGATTCTTGGCTTGCTTTTTGTCGTTTGTCTATATTTCTCTAAAGTTATTCCCCATAAGATTTTTTTCGCGTTGCGGTTATTGAATAGAAATAAAAGCAAAATTCATGGTTATTTCTAGTCGTTAGTTTCGTGTGTTTCCCCTCAAAAGCGACGTTCTATCCGTCGAGAGCTACTTTAGCTGGATTTATCGACCAGCCGAGGCTGCAATTTTATAATTTCCTCCTTCGGATTTTTCGCAATATCATTTAATTAACCCACAACTGCTCAATTCGGATTAGTTAAAAACCATCTGATCCGTTCGTTTCTCCCGCTTCTCCGTCGCAGATTGCATCCCTTCTGTCTTCCGATAAGTTATTGTTTTGTTTATTGTTTTTCCGTTGACATCAAATTTATATAGGCGGTGGTCTAATAAATCTAATAGTACCTAATTTGGCGCCGTAATTTATCGAGGGAACATTTTGCGGAAAGTTGGCCAATATTCGTAAGAGACGATCAATAAATATTAGTGGAAGGGTCGTAGAAAATTCTAAGCACAGGACTTGGCCTTTCACCTCAACTGTAAGCGCACGAAACCGTGTTCCAACTAGATTTTCAACAGACCAGGTTGCAATACAGGTATCGTTACAAACAGCTGTCGCTGCTTATAAGTGATTTGCATGGACTGTACGGAGCATTTGCATACTACAATAAATGGAACATGTACCAACGGGATTTTGTGACCAGCTTTTATAGGACGCCATAATCGCGGTGTGTGCTGTGTGTATAATATCAAGATTTTCGGGAGACGGGGCCGCTGCCGGTCTCGGCAAATAATATAAAAAAGGATCGGTACAGCGCTGTTTGTTTAGGATTTCTTGCGCTGTATCGGAATTATTTCAGGTATACAGTTAGCCGGCAAATATTTGTGTTCCTGCGAAAATGAAAGTGGAGTGAGAAGAGCAAAAAGGAATCGTCCAGAGTATGACATGCTTAATTCTCGAGTTCTTTTTCTCGGAGCTTTACGCCAAAAACTCGCCCGGACGAGCATTGTTTTGTTGCCACAAACATTCAATGCGTGTTTTGGAAACGCGGAAGAACAATAACGAAGTGACGACAATTGATTCTCATTTCTATACTTAAGAGTAAGTACTTTGCCGCCTTTACTCTGTAAGTTCGTCTTAAATAATTGATCAGATGTGGAATGTCTGAGCGAAATATGCCGGCTATTTATGTCTGTAAAATGGTGCCTGTTTACAAGAAACTACTGAAACTCGTAAATGAAGTTAGACGAAGTGGTAAACGACACATGCAACACTGCCACGATTCCGAGCTAATGATGTACGTAACACCACAGCGAGGAGCACAGATGAGTAAATGAATACACGCTGCGGAGGAATTATCAGTACGAGAAACTAACTATATCAAGCCTGAGGTTTATGAAGTGTGGCAGAACAATGATATTCAACAGACTGGTTGTCTAGCCCTGGACGCGTCGGCTTGAAA